ATCATAAGCATTATACGCTCAAATGCTGCACTTCCAAATCAACATGGTAATAACACTCTCTATATATATATATAAATATATATCCTCCGGCTTCAGTGGCCATATTCATGTCCATATATATTTATATAGGCAAGTGCCCCTTCAATCAAAACCGTTATTTTATAGTAAACCTTAATTAAATGGAAATGCGAGGTGGGTCCATTGCATTGCTTCTCAGCGAAGGATCATTCATAACACGTGTAGGAAACCAGTTTTCTATCCATAAAAGGAATGTTTGTCTTTTAAAAGTAGAGTGAACAATTATACCGTATAAGTTGCCTCTATAATATAGGGTCAACATATTAGTCATCACCGTTGGTTCTGGAAATATATGGTGAAGTCAAGCAACTATAGTCCCTTTTAAGTCCCTCAATAAGAGAGCTGCTCAATGTTCAAAATTCGGATTGATGTCGACGATTGTCCAACCGACAAATTCATGTTGGATAGTTGATTTGGATGGTGTCCAATTGGCAATCTATATAAATATTTAAACATAAAAATAATAGTTTATTGGTGAGCCTGAAAAAATATTAGATAAACTTATAAAAATTATATATATATATATATATATATGAAAGGAGGTTTTATAGGGAGATTAGGCCAGTTCTGATACCACCCTTGAACGGGTTCCACAGTTTAGTAATGACAATGGATAGACAAAGATAGTACATGGCCAATGTATAGAGGACTTGCATATAATACACAGCCCCAAACTTTTCCAGGGATCAACCGGTAAATAATACTTTTGATTGTTTCGTACTACAGATTGAGAGTGACTCATCTTTGTTGGTTGATGTTATTCATGACTATCGTAAGGCGTTGTGGTTGCTCCACATGTTAGCTGCCAACTACCGACATAAGCTCACTAACTGTGGTCCCTTTGACACATCTTTCACGAGGTCAATATGGTGACCTACACTCTTGCCAAAAGAGCCACGGTTTTTTTTATGCCATCATTTGGCATGCAATACCTCCAGATTTTCTTAGTCTTCCTTTACTTCTTGATGTCGCACAAGTCCCCTATTGTAGAGCTGTTAAACTATGAGCTATATTTTGCCATTCTTTATGTTAATGAAAAATGGGTAGGGGGGCTTTCTCCCCCACTGACATACCCAAAAAAAGATTTCAATAAATTTATATTTGGGAACCAACTTTTTATGGTGGTGTCTTCTACTTCTACAATTAATATACTTATATTTTTTGATACGGTTTTTATGAGTCCATGTAGAAATGAGCCACCTCTTAAAACAAATATATTGAGAAGGATTTTTGGACGTAATTTTTAAGGGTGCAGTTTGTATAGAGCCTAGGCTCTAAACAATCAAATTTGAGCCTACCTTCAAATAGTATCGAGAAATGTGGTTTCAATATTGGAAATCTTTTGTGATAGACTTAAAATATAATTCTATATTTATTTATGGAATTTAAAGCTTCAGAAATAGTGTAGATCTACAGATTTATGAAAACTTGAAAATATTGAAAATTGACGATCCAAAAATGCATTACAAAATACACTATTTTCAAAACTTAAAATCTATTTTTTTCTCATGTGCATACATCTTGATGTCTAGATGATCAATTTGAAGATATTTGGGTATCAAAACAAACTTTTCTAGTGAAATCTTTGTAGTAGGCTCAAATTTGATTGTTTAGAGCCTCCGCTCTATATAAACTTTTCCCAATTTTTAAAGGCATGTAATCTCTAACATAGAGATCATGAATATAAAAAAATACATAAATTTTGAAAATTAGAAATACTAATTCTATTAAGAAAACACTAGTATAAATTGGTTTTAGATGGACCACCTATTTGCATCCATCTTTAAGATAGATACTTTATATCTCGGGGATCACAATCGATCCCCGCCGCGTGAAACAATTTTCCCATATTTTTTGTCCTGCATAATAGTACAAATCGAATGATTTAGATTGCATCTGCTAATCTTAACAGATTCAACGGTAAGTGTCTAATTGATTTTTAATTGTTCTTTATGGATTGACTTAGACTTTTAAGGATACAATACCTGAACTAGGTACATAAAAAATAAAAAAAATTATATGACCATCGGCCCTTAGCTAAAACCAATTGTTCAAGCTATTTGATGGGGCAAGCTCACAAAATCTTTGTCCGTATATATATCCAAATGTGTATGGTGGGGGATATATAAATGTCTTGAGGCTAGAGAATGCGTATATCACGGCAAGGCAAAAAAGAAGGGGGACTCCACACGTGTAATCGCACAGTGCACAACCCTAACTCAGCACTCAACTAATGAGCTCCTCTCATCCAAAACCACCCATTTCCCCAAAAAACCGCCCATAAAACCACTGGTTTTTATCTCTCTATAATATACTCTTACTCTCTCTCTACACCTAAAGTTACTTAGATCTCTCCATAATTCTTCACCACCCCTCTCCCCAAATCAAAATCTCCATTAAAGCAAGGCAAGTCTGGTTCTTCTCTCTCCTCCTCACCTCATTTCAATTGAGTCAAAGTTTATGTATGATATTTATCTAATTCTCCATGCTCAAATGATTTGAATCACTTAGAATTCTTTGTTTTTGTGAACTTTTTCTGTTGATTTTGATGTGGGTTTTATTACAAATGGAAGATGGAGATCATAAAGATGTAGTCTTACTAGTTTCTTTTCTGATCTTTCTTATTTGGAGTGTGGAAAGGAGACAGTGATATCTTTCTCCTCTTGATTATCTAAAGGAGACTGATATCTTTATCTCTCTTTTTTGTGATATTTCTCTTATGGATAGAAGAACTGGAAGAAATTTCTAGCTACTTTTTCTTTTTCTTTTGTTTTTTTCTTCTTTTTTTCTTTTTTTTTTGGTTTTTTTTTTAGTGAATTGGTAGCTACCTTTTCTGATCTTTGGTTCTTATCTTTCTCATGTAGGGGGAAGAAATAGATGAGGATGACATCTCTCTTGTTGTTGTGATTCTTTCCATGTACATAGAAAGAGAGGGATAAGGAGAGAAAGAAGAAAGGAAGGGGACACAAAGAGAGGGAGGGGTAAAGAGAGAGTGGGAGGAAGGAAGGCAGAGAGAGGAAGAAGGAGAGAATAAGAGGGAGAGGGAAGAGGGAGAGAGGAAGAAGAAAGAAATAGTTTGAGTGAGAGAGAAGATGATACAAGGGTTACTTGGGGGTGCCACCGACCGGTGTGGCAAGCCAAACCCAAGCTCACAGGAGAAGGGCTCAGCCGCCGACCACCCGCCCTTAAAGTGCCCACGATGCGACTCAATGAACACCAAATTCTGCTACTACAACAACTACAACCTCACCCAGCCCCGCCACTTCTGCAAGACATGCCGTCGCTACTGGACCAAGGGCGGTGCCCTCCGTAATGTCCCAATAGGTGGTGGATGCAGAAAAACGAAAACAACAACCACCACCAACACCAACACCAACACCACCACCACCCCCACCACAAAATTCACAAAGCCAAGACCTCTCTCATCTGAGCCCTCAGATGTGGTCAAACAAAACTTAGATCACCCCCACTTTGATCATGAGCCCATTTGGCTCCCCCAAATTTCACACCCACTTTTAGATCTACATGTCCCCACCACCAGCTCCCCCAGTGGTGGGTTGGGTTTGGATTGGGCCTTTTTGAGACCAAACCCTAACCCTAGCCCAAGCCCTAATGGCTTTGTTGTAAAAGAAGAGTCCCCCATGATTATTGGGTCAGGGCCTTCAGCTTTTGCTTTAAATACCCACACTCTAGACCCAATCATAAATCAAACCAACCTTAACCTTAGTCCATATTGGAGGACCAACAGCGCAAACAATGGCACCACCACCAGTCTCAATGTTACCAGCACTAGCTGTTCAACTACCACTCCTAGTACTAGTAGCAATGGGCAACATGTGTTCATGGGTGGAAGTGAGAGCCAAATTGTGAAGCAGGAGATGTATAATAAACTTAGAGCCTCTATGAATTACTACACTGATCAACAACAAGTGGCCCTAGGACTTGGAGGTTCACCCATGGAGATGGGGGGAGGTGATATTGGATACTGGAACTCAGCTCTCTCGTGGTCAGATCTACCTGCAACTACCAATGGTGCATTTCCTTGAAAAGGTTCTTTTTGGGGTGTTAATTTTATTAACCCTGTGCTGCTTGTTTTACTTTGTTGTGGGTCATGAGTTGTGAATCATGTAGGAGTATTGGGTTGTCTTGATCTTTTGCTTCTTTTCCCTCCCTTGTGTTTTTTCTTTCTTCTTTTTGGTGTTTTTTGTCTTTCTAACTGTAGCTTGTGAGAATATTTCACGAAGGAATGAAGAGAGAATGTTTATGTGAGAAAATGTGTGTTTTGTGTGTTGTTTGGATTCTATTTCATCCTTTTGCACATAAAATACCCCTATTTTTGTACTGCCAAAAGTGTTATGGATTGATTCTCTAACCTTTAAAATACTCTCAGTGATTCTTGGCAGTGCTGAAATCTTTGGTTGGTCTTTAACAACTGGTCTGAATCAAACTGACCAACCCATGGATAAAAAAATCACAGCGAATCGTAACAAGCTACCATAAAATCAGTAACAGTGGTTTAGGGTTTTCACATGGGCTTCTTCCCAATGGAAAAAGAAAAACACAGCTTCTGTTGGGGTTTTTGTAGGAAAAGGGAAGATGGGACAAGGAGATTCCATAGTATTTATAGTATATATATCTCTCTCTCTCTCTAGACTGTCTTGCTGCTCTTATGTTAGTACTCTGAGACTTGCATGTTTCCTTGAAACTTGTAGACATGCTGTCTCTCTCTTTCTCTTTCTCTCTCTCTCTCTCTTACTGAAACACATACACAGATCAGATGTATGCGCACGCATTTTTGGGGCCATGTTTCGAGAAAGTGTGCATGTCATTGAGCACGGGCTTCGAAGAGAGAGAATCGGAGCCTAAATCCAAAGTTGATATATGCTGTGTAAAAGACTTATTCCTTGTGTCTCTCTCTCTATATATACCTCTTTCACTCATGGATCAAGCAGCTAACTTAGTCTTTCTAAACCCACATTCTTCTTTCCTTTAGAGCTTCATTGACAGCTGCATTAATTGAGAGAATAAATGATTTACAAGATGCACTTTTTATAGGGTTTAGTATTCATGAAAACAAAGTAAAGCCTTGCCTTGTCTGGCACTTTGGGCATCGGAAATCTCCAATGTGGCTTTAAAATCAATTTTCAATGCCGATTGTGAAATTTAAAGCTTTAAAATATGGTACAGATCATCTTGTGGATTTGCGAACACTTGTTTTAAAGTAAAGTGAAATGGATGTTACAATATATATACTATTCTTACGACTTGAAATCTCCATGTTTTTTTTCACAACCATAATGATCAAGGTTGAGATAGTCAATTTGAAGGTTTTTCAACACTATAATTATAATTTTTGACGAGTTTTGAGATAAGAACTTACTTATTTTAATAGGGTTGAAACAATTTTCCAAAAACTTGACACTCCCCCACGGGCTTTCTCTCGATACTCGTTGGCCAATGTTCCCAAACTAATGCACTTGCACCAATCCACAATCTTGGCACATATGTTCTAAGCATTCCAAAGCAAGAAGCCCCATTTAGATTAGGTGTCTATCCTATACATTGCAATAGATCCTTTCATAATCTTCCTTATTTGGGCTTAATTTTGCATTCTGATGTATAAACAAGATTCTAGGCGTCAAGGGTGAGCCTTCAAAATTAGAAAAGAGAAACTCTGATGTTAAAAATGTCATAATTCTCTCCCATAGTGATTAAGTTATGGAATGAAATTATCATACATTAGTGAAGAGATTTAAAAAATTAATAGTTCAACTTTGGAATGTGGAGAAAAAATGAATCTCTAGACTAGAAAAGAGGTTTAAAACTAGAAAATTCATCTCAAATGGGCTTTTATAGAGAGAGAATATCTAGAGAAACCTAGATTAAGCAAATTGGTGGTGTGACTGTGAATTGGCAATGGAAGGGTTACAGATTCCTTTCTACTATCAAGAATTGCCTTCTTGAGGATCAATACTTCTACAAATTGGTGGAGCCAACATTATGAAACCACCATTTCTGTCCTTTGAAGTTATGTTTGCAGAAGGCAAAGTTACCAAAGTTTTGAAATCACCATTTCTTCCCTTTGAGCCATACCTTCATCACTAGAATGCCAAAACAACCAATATAAGCATAGAAATTATTTCAATGAATATATTAAGTGTATAGCCTCTTCTTTTTTTTTTTTCTTTTTTTAAAGTTCTAATACACTTTATTATTGTAATGGCTTCATTTAGGATATATTCGGGACTTAGATTGATAGATTAAGGTGCTTTCTACATTTTTAGATTATTTTCTTCCTAATATTTTCGGTGGAACGATTATCATGCTTCATCTAACTAATATTTCTATTTATTGGCATTAAAATGCAATATTCTCACTTTATTATGATTAGCATTTTTTTTTTTTTTTTTGATGCTTAACACATTAAAAAATTCCAATCAGTCCAATATGGGCAACATTGAACAGAGGGGCAAAATTGAAAAAGGTTTACGTAAAGTGAGGGGTGGACCTCGGCTTAATATAATGGGAAAATATGGAGCATGGAGGAATATATTAGTTCTTCTCATGTCGGTACGTAATTTTCTTTTATTATAATACAACTCAAGGTATAACATATGTTGATCAATGAAAATAGATCTATATTGTAAGAGAAGGCTTAGGGTAGGTGACTTAGAGCCAGAGTTTAGGGTGGGGAAGTTTGTAATGTTTAGGGTAGAGTAGAGCACTTGAATCTCTCTCCATCCCAATCTATCTCTTATTTTATTTTGTCATTATTTAAGTAGGAAATTTGTATATTCTAATCATTATTAAGGAGAAAGAACGACATGGTATTCAAAATAGATTGAAAATGATACGGGATGTTTTTATAATTAGTTATATACGAGATAAAGAGATCCCTATTTTCAATAAATCAACTGATATTGTTGTGCCTAATCTGCATATATATTTAATGTTTTCATTTCAAAACTAAAAAACTTTTTATGTTTAATAATTATTAATGCATTTAAATACATGTGTAAAAAGATATGCGCTAATCTTAAGAGATTTGAAGATGAGAGGTTTATGTTCTTATGCACTCCAAAATATAATTTCGATATTCCTCATAAGGGTAATGGGCCAACTCTAGGCCCAGCCAGCCCCGGCCCTCACCCGGTCTTTGTCCCCATAGAGTAGGGCTGGATCGGACCATGCCAAAAATAAATGAAGAAAAATAGAAGCAAAAAAAAACAAAGGGTCGAGCCAAGCCCGACACTGGCTCAAGCCGCATCTTCTGACCCCAACCCTACTTTTTCTAAGGCTGGTTTGGGCCACCGGCCCTAGTTTTTCAGATGGGCCGCTCCTCCATACCATTTCTTCCAAGTCTCAACAAAAAGCTTCAAACCTTAAGTCCTATAATTCTTTTGGGAAAACGGCGCTCACCCCTTCCCCCAAAAAAAAATTTCAAAGGTAGATTTTAGGTCTAGGAGAAGCCCGTAGAACCCTTCCATAAGTTTCAAAAATATAACCCAATGCCCATCCTACCTTTTTCTCCCTCTCCTAATTGCATATACATCCTTAGGGCACATTTGGTACGTATAAAAATACTTTCGTGAAAGTATTTTCACATGAAAGAGCTCTTTTATATAATTAGGTGTGGGAGTTTTTTCCCACCAATTGACTGCTAATTGGTTTGTAAAAATACTTTGGGACCAATTAGTATGAAAAAACTACCGCACTTAAACATATGGAGAAGTTTTTTCATCACATGCACCGAACACGCCCTTAGCTTTTTGTTTAGTTTGGTCACCATCGAAAAGAAAAATAGCCTTTCAAAACTAGAAGCCTCCCATGAACTCCCACCCCATTAGAGAGTTCATAAAGGCATAAACGATGAGGAGGTGATTTTCGTTTGGGGGAATTAGTTTCTCTCTTATGTTGTTTTGGTTTTCTTGTCTCTAGAACCATGTCTTCTTTCATAGTTAAGGGTCATTCTCAGAAGGTAATCGGGTGGCGTGCTAGAGTGCAGACACTTCCATGGAAGCTCAGGATGGATGAAAATTTCTGATCTCTGTAGCTCATTGGATGTCTCGTTTAATCATTTTTTATAGAGAAACAAATGAGTAAGCAGATATTTTGGCTAAGTAGGGTGTCGTTTTGTTGGAGCTTTCGATTGTCCATACACCGATGTAACCGACATCTTTCTTAATTGTGAACTTGGAAACCTCTGATGCCAATTATGTTAGTAATCTTTTTCAAAAAGAAGAAGGCTCGATTGATGGGGTTTTCTCGGTATAGATCTTTGTGGGCGTCCATGATATATGTGAGATATTCTATATCTAATTGTAGTTTTTTCATTTTTTATTGGTTGGTAGTATTGTTTGAATTCAAATTTTTTAGCACCAACAATTGACTTCCCTAAGAAGTTTATGTCGCTAGTTTGAATGTTCAACAATGTAATGTATTGGCCCATTTCATGTGCATTCATATCTTCACCTAAAGGATCTTGCATGAAAGTTATTCCTTTGAAAAGAAATTTATAACATTATGTAGTCTATATAAAACTCACTTTACAAACTGTTGACTGATCATGTTGAAGAACCATTACCCTTCGGAAATTGTTCTATAAACCAAAGTTCCCATGACAATAGGGATCAAGCTTGAGCTTGAGTGGTTCGCAGTTGACACTAGCAACCTTACATCTCAAGTTTGATTCTTAAAAACAAGAGTTATTCATAAGACCCTATTCAATAGCCCCAGACCAAAAAAAGTGAGTTTGAATTTCAAATTATAAAACCTAGAATGTCAAATACATGTCTAGTTGTCCTTTGAAACATCCAAAATTATTGTAATTCATAAATTCACCACTTGCAATTAAGTTGGGATTTAGAAATGCAAACAACCCTCATGCCACCCATGGGATGCCAGTTCCTACCCAAATAGGATTATTTGGGAAGTAAGTCTGCCCAGTTTAGTTTTATAGAAGCCAGGTCCTACTTAAATATGTTCCTTTGGGATAATAAGTCCTCGTTTGACAAGTTGCAGTGTCTGAAGTTCACAGAAAGAATGC